GCTTACAAACCATATTATAATTAGAGATAACTAAGGCTAACCTTACATCCTCGCATTTTCCCCCCATATAATTAGAGCTTATAACATTATCCCTCCACATGCATTTTCTCTACCCATGTCTGCTCTTGTCCTTCGTAACGGCCGACGGAGGATACTCGCCGCCACTCGAATTGCCATATCCGCCGCCACTCGAACCACCGTACCCGCCACCATCGCCACTGTCGCCAGAGTTACCGTAGCCACTTCCGGAGCCATAACCACCACCATGAGCCCCACCACCTCCGCTTCCATACCCATATCCAGATCCCGAACCCGACCCGGAACCAAATCCATATCCATAACCTTTCCCGAACCCAGTCGGGGAGCGACCAGAACCCGACCCGTAACCCCAACCACTCCCAGGGCTCGAACCCCAGCCCCAATTATAGTCCCAATTAGGACCATGAGCAGAGCCATAGCCCCCAGTGGGATTCCCACCTCCATTGGGCGATCCCCAATACATGTCTGGAGAGTTGAGCAGTTTCCGGCCGTGTACGGCGGAGGAAGCTGTGATGAAGAAGAGAAGAAAAAAGAGAGGAGAGAGATGAAATGGTGATGGTTTCTTCATATTTTTATTGGGGTTTTGAGAGAGAGAGAGAGAGAGAGAGAGATTTGAAATTGTTAATCGGAAGGCGGAGAGGATTTGTGTTGTGGTGGTGATCGTCGAAGTGGCATTTATAGTGAAACCTGTGACGTACTTTTCACCTTTTCTTTTTATTATTAATTATTATTATTTTATTATTTAATATTCATTATTATTTCCCCTTGTGAATGCACTTGTCCATACTCCACAATTTTACCCCACAAAAACACCAAAACATCACATAAAAGTTATTAAATAATATTTATTTTTAGCATTACAATATATAAGATGACAAAAAAACAAAAATAAAATAACACATCCTTAATATCAACCAAATCAAGTTGGTTTGATTGATTTGATTTTATAAAAATTTTAAATTATTTTGATCTGATCACATTTAATGTGAATTTTAATGGATGACAATTCACAATTTCACATGTATGCACTATTTAAATAATTTTATTTTTTTATTTTAATTTATATATTACGCCCTTAAAAGGAAGAATAGGCTTTATTCCTAAAAAAGGTTATACTCGGTTCAATTCCATTCCTAGGGTATTAGCATAAAAAAGAGGGCCTAATGAACCCGAAACTATGGCAGCGAAATGGGTTTGCAAGCCTGCAACCCGACCAGCTAAGAGCAACTCCAAACTTGAGGAAGAATACGATCTCACTAAATCGACCAAATGAAAGCAAGGCCTAATTGCTTGTTGCCCTTCGTGCGCAAGAACGGATCTTAGCCAATTACTGGCTCAGGCTTTTGCAAGAGCACCAGTAGGCACACGTAGGTGGGTTCTCTCCTATTTTTGGGCCGCAAAATTTGGGTGGGTCTAAGCACGAAAAATGAGTCATGCAAGAAACTGTTAAGTTAAGTCTTGTCATCCCTAATAGAAATTTATTATTGAAAGATAGATTATATTCTTTATCCTCCCTCTGACCCGCTCATCACAAACCATATCATAATAATATAATTATGTTTATGAAAAGTGGATATTGAGGTGGGTCTAATTCTCTTTCCAAAAATGGGCTTGTAACTTGTTGTATGGATGTATATGCTCATGTAATGAAGCTATGTTGATAAGGTCAGTTTTTAAAGGGAAAAATATCTCTATAGTGGGAGTTGAGTAAGGTTGACGTAATATCAATCTTTGTGCCCTAAACTTTTGGATTTAGATTCTATTTTTATTTAATTTTATTTATGAAATGTATAGTTACAAATTGATAAATAATCATATTCTAATTTTTCAAAATATGATTTAATTAATATATAATATATAATTAAATTACGGGAAATTAACACTAAAAATCGAAAGCAAAAAAAAAAAAAACCCTTATCATCCAAAAAGATCTTTAAAATAGTTTCATATCTAAAAAAAAAAAAAAAGTCAAATTATTTGAAAAGGATTTCTCTTCTATATATTATCCTTTTTGTCTCCCATTTTTGTCTCCCATTCTATAAATTTTCCTTATTTTTAAGTTACAAATTTTCGCTATTTATTAAGCTAACGGTGACGTAAAAATGTTTATGAGTTAAGTTTAGTCGGATTAAGTTATTTTTTAGACTCAGCCCAATTATTTGGTTCGTAAATTTTTTAATTCAAAAAACCCTCAAATCATGAAATACTAGGTTGGGTTAGCTTGAGTTGTTTGAACGATCGATGAATCTAAGAATTAAAATTGCATCTCAATTTGTCCGATAACGAATATTCACTCCACAAGTTGCTTCAAATCACGTAAGTATGATTAAAAAACATTTGGTTCATGATTTTTTTAAATCTTTTTCGAAACGAAATGAGTTGGGAGTCATTTTCCAACTAAAATCTTTAGAATTTTCACGAAAAAAAACATAGATACTGAATAAAAATTTATAAATTCCGACCATAAAGAGAAGAAAAAAGAAAACGTCAATTAATGCTGTCTTTTTCAACTAAACATGCCTAAATCCTCATTTTATAATACGAGCTAAATTTTAATATTAAATATTTTAACCAATTTACACATTTTTATTTTACATTCTTTACGTCCCTTACACTAAATATTAATATGAAATTTTTATTTATATAATTGTAAAGATAAAAATAATAATAATAATAATAATTATTATTATTATTAGTATTATTATTATTTATATATAATTTTGTGATTTTTTTTTTAAAGCAAAAAAAAATTGTGAATTTTAGTGTATGTTAGATTTTAACACCTCACTTTCAGTTAACCGACTAAAGGGAGTGGTGGTAGGCACCTTTGGATTTTAACAGTCCATTCCAGTAAAGCCACGTGGACCAAATGAAATAGAATTGGACCGTGATGGAATTTATTAGGACAGTTTCTTTTTTTTCTTTTCTAGGAGGATAATTTGTTCCGTGACATTAAGTGGGAAAGAAAGATAACGACTTTGACTTCCACGTTCTTTGGTTGGACGGTTGTGATTCTCTATAAATATTCAAACTCACCCCTTTAGTTTCTTGCCACGTGTACTCCACAATTTCTTTTTCTTAAAAATAAATTTATTATAATTAAAAGTATTAATTAGCTTATATTTAAATTGTTTGGTATTATTACTCTTATGTAAAAAATATGGAATTTGACTAAAAATATATATAATAATATTTTAATTAATTGAATTATATTTAAATGATGGTATTTTTTAGTTCAATAATTATAAGTAATAATTATGTTGATAGGTTAATTATACTCGAACAAACAAGTTACTTCAAATATTTACAAATTAATATAAAATTTTCAAAACATTGCAAAAAGGGGTTGACTTATTTGAATACCACTGGATTATGTAATGATGAGTTACATGCTTGATATTTTTCAAATTCCTATGGACAAATTGGAATATTTAATAATTTTAGAAAATCTTGAATAAGTGGGTTTGGATATAGAGAATGGGTTTTGATATTTAACATAATAATATAAAAAAAAAAAACCATTAAAAATTAATATAATTTTTTAGGGGAAGTGTTTTAATTCTCAAACCAAAAAATAGTGGAAAGTAGCGTTTTCAAGACCGTTATGCGGATTGAATAAGGTTTTTAGTAACAATACCTGAAAATATAAAAAATGACATGAATAACGAAAGACATTAAATCATTGAACTAATATGCATAAAAAAATTAATATTTATAAATTAATTGATCATATTAAAGGTAGCTAAAACCTTCTTCTACTATTACATTAAAGAATAGTCGAACACATTTTCAAGAAATATGATTGAGAAAAACTATTTAAAAGCTAATTTCCTATACAAACCCTAAGATTATTTGGAAATATCACCAATTATACATCATTTACCTTAATTAATCAGCTTAATTTTTTTGCCTGATTGGTAATTTGACATGATATAAAACGAAGAGATCTCGGGTTCGATTCTATATTTATTTTTTGATTGAATTAAATTAATAATTTAATTTTTAAGATAATGAAAGAAAATATGATATTACACAAAAATATCTTAGCACACAAAGAGGAAGGGGCAAAAGGAATAGAGCACTAGAATGGATGAGAATCTAGGGCACAATATATGCAATCATGGTCAGAGAAAACACATGCCTATTAACTTCCATAAAATATCAGAAAAAAGTGATGTTTTTTTAAGGGCAGAATCCATGTGGGTGTCCTCTAAATTCATCCACTTGACCCACTTCCCAACCCATTATCCTCCCAATTTGCAAATTGAGCACATTTTAACCCTCCTTTTTTAATGGGCCCAATTCATTTACATTTCAAACAATAACTCGAGTTCCATTATGGCCCAAATCCATGTGCAATACTATCCCAACTATTTACTTTAATTCTTCATTTTTATTTTCATATATTATAAAATATGTACGCAAAAATATGGTAGATTTTGTCGCGTTTGTTAGGGGAGGTTTCCGCACCCTTATAAGGAATATTTTGTTTCTCTCTCCAACCGAGGTGGAATCTCGCAATACACTTGAGACCACCACTAGTATATATTGTCCTATTTGAGCTTTTTCTTTCGGACCTTTCCTCGAGATTTTTAAAACGAGTCTACTAAAGAGAGGTTTCCACACCCCTATAAAGAATGTTTCGTTTCTCTCTCCAATCGATCTGAGATCTCACATAAATACAATTTTTTTACTCAACAACGAGTGGAGGTGAAGGAATAAAATTGTATGTCTTGACTATATTCAAGTTGGTTAAGAAAGATATAGTTAAAAACAAGGCTAAATTTGAAAAATGTTGTAACAGTCTAAGTTGATCGCTAAGAGATATTGTCCATTTTGGCCTATTATGTATCGTCGCTAAACTTACAATTTTAAAAATGCGTCAACTAAGAAGAGATTTCCACATCCTCATGAAGAATACTTTGTTCTCCTCTCGATCTCGCAAATATAAAATAAAATAATTATTAAAGAGAAATTAAATATATTTTCTAGGTGGAGTTTTCATTTTGGTTTTGCCACGAAGCTTGCCATTGCTTGTCATAGAAGGTGGCTTCTTCGGCTAGCTTTCTTAAGCCTTCAATATCTTTGGTTTGCCTAAACAGTAACACACCAATGACTGTTACAAAAAGGGCTGCTTTGCTTATGAAATTCCCACTTTGCCCAACTATTCCAATTCCTGTTAATGCATCCACTAGATAGGCCATGAAGAACCCTATCATTGCTGCCCTACCTACACCAAGTAACAAACCAGTTTGAGAATAGCTCGTCTGATTCTTAGGGTAGTCTTGCAATTTTTTTTTTTATTATTTTTGTTAAAATTTAAATTTTTTTATTAATTTATTTTCGTCGAAGAGCTAGAACATATCAGCTAATTTTGCAACCGTCTCTAAAGTTGAAGGTTAAGATTGCCACATTACCGTTAAGTAGTTCGGCTTGTGGGAGGTAGGATTTGGTGAGCCATGCCCACCAAGGTATAATGGAGCTTCTAAAGAGCACTGGTTCGTGATTTGTAGCTGTTTCTGGATACAATTCAAGAAACTTCCTCCTCTTTGCTTCTACATGTCCAATTTATGTTAATCCAAACTTATATAATTCGGCATAAACATGTTTAATTAAGGTAATGAAATGGATAAATATGTTCTAATTAAGTTTATTTTTTAACCTAAAATTATCCGATGCACTCACCTGCGACGATGACACCTTCCCAATCCATCTTGCCATTCTTCACAAACATATTGAGATCCCATGTCCCATTTTTCCATCTCTCATCTGTGAACGTTTGGCCATGGTTCATATCGTCAGTATCTTCCTCTAGCTTGTCCGTAGCTGATGCAACGTTTCCATGACGTTTGGGAGCGTCTAAGGCATCTCGGTCGCCAACGTAGGGAGTTTTGATTAGCTCTGGGGTCGGGTTTTTCGTCATGGAGGAATAGGTAGGTCGGGCTTGACGACGTTGTTGCTTGTTGGAGACATGATTTGAAGTACATGATCTTGGAAATGAGGCAGAGATAGCAATTGAAGCCATGTCTTTGAGATTTCTAAGCTCTTTTGGCCTTCCTTTTATGTTTAGTGGCCGCTTGTTTTGGCTCTGATTTTGGCCTTCTCTGATAAAATCTGGTTTGGATTGAAAAGAGAGAGAAGTTGCCCATGCAAAAAGAAACTTATCTTGTCATAGCCCATGCTTGCATTGCAGGTGAGGTTATGGGCGTTTCGCAGGTCATTCCTCGATTTAAGTTAACACTAAATCTTACAACGGTGTCTGATGAAAATGTCGAGATCTCAATTTTATAAAAATATTAATAAAATAATGATGTAGATGACAAGTTACTTGACGAAAATCAAAATTCTTTAGAATTTTAAATGAGTTGGAGAGAAAGCAGCGGAGCAGCAGGAAGTGTTCTTGAAGTATAAATCTTTTAGAATTTTAAACAGAAAATGTAAAACTTCGATCCGAACAAAAAATCGCCAAAACAATAATTATAACATTTACTTGAATTAAGCCAAAAAGAATGATCTTTAGACATGTAAGCATGATCCCAAGTGATGGGAAGCTCTTGGAAAGTTAAGTTTATGAAAGATTACCTCATGAGCTGCTATCAAGCATCCACCAACTACGACATACTTCTTTCCTGTCAAAACACAGAACAAGTAACTGAGAATTTACAGGGAAAAGGGAAAAGGGTGTTTTCTAACCTACTAGTAGAGCACATTGATAATGCGATAAATTACGTGTTTTCTCTTTCGTCGATCGATTCCTGCATTCTTCATATCGTTCTTTGAAATCCCAGAACCAGGGGGAACACCATACTGCATTGGAGAAAGGGGGGTACCAGCAGGAGAAGCTGCCATAGCAGAGGCTGGGGCCGACACAGCTGCCTGGGGAGGACCAGAAACCGGAGGTGGTTGAGCTGCAGGTTCGAGTAGGGGTCGAGGTAAAATGTGTTTCAAACGATTGTTCCGATAGTTCTTCCAGAAGTAAAATTGCTGTCTGTGTGTCAGTTCCTAAGAAATTCCAAACGACGCAACGGTCAAAATACTACGAAACAGGAAAAGGGCAATTTCAGCACATAAAGAGCAAACCACTCGGAAAGCGAAAAATTATCTTCTCTCGGGGAATCGATGGACGTCGATCAGTCACGACGAACATGAAATGTAAAAGTTAACCTTGTTGGCAGGATGAGCCATTGCATTTCGGAAGTTTGCATTTTGTAGAAGTTCAAGGAAAAAAAGACAATGAGGATACCTAGAAGAAACAACAATGAAGTCCAAATCACATTCAGTTCTAATTCTTCAGTTCAGGAAAAGCTTATGAAGAACATGAAGGAAAGATCTTACTCACATTATGTACTTAATATACTCCGGTTGTTGCCAATATTGAAGGTACTTCAAGTAACCAATAAAAGCTTCGTCCTCAAGGTAACGATTCTGAGCCAAATCTGTATAAAAACTCGGTGATCAGCCATAGAACTCGGAGCATAAAAAGCATTTGATTCAACATTTCGATACCAATTTGAACGAGCATAGTTCGTTAAGAAGCATATCCTAGTGAGTTCGTGAAGATGGCAACCACAAGAAGTTCGACAGGTTCAGAAACCTACTTAAGTCGTACGAGACCATAACATATCGTCGAAAGAAAGATCAAGCAGACGAGCACTGATCTCGTGAGTTGAGAAGGCTCATAACAGATTAATTTTGTAGTAAAAACTGTAAGTTACAGGTGCAGTCAAGCTTAAAAGATAAGGCATGGAGATGCCAGTTTAGGGCTAGCCAATATTGTCCTTTTTTTTACTTTCTCTTTTGAACTTTCCCTCAAGGTTCTAAAACGCATCTACTAGGAAGAGGTTTCCACACTCTCATAAGGAATGTTTCATTTCCCTTTCCAACTAACGTGGGATCTCACAATCCACCCCCTTTGGGGCCCAACGTCCTCGTTAGCATACCGTTCGGTGTCTGTCTCTGATACCATTTGTAACAACTCAAGCCCACCGCTAGCAGATATTGTCCTCTTTAGACTTTCCCTTTCAAGGTTCCTCTCAAGGTTCTAAAACGCGTCTACTAGGAAGAGGTTTCCACACCCTTGTAAGGAATGTTTCATTCCCCTCTCCACCCAAGGTGGGATCTCACAATCCACCCCCTGTGGGGTCCAACGTCCTCGCTGGCATACCATTCGGTGTCTGCCTCTGATACCATTTGTAACAACTCAAGCCCACCGCTAACAAATATTGTCCTCTTTGGACTTTCCCTTTCAAGGTTCCTCTCAAGGTTTTAAAATGCATCTACTATGAGAGATTTCCACACCCTCTTAAAGAATGTTTCGTTCCCCTCTCCAATCGATATGGGATCTCACACTTCGGTTCTGAATACCTAAATCTTTTCATCGTCTATTTAGCTCATTAGAATTCCAAATTGAAACTAAATTCAACTGAAAGAGTTTGGAAGTAATTCTCTAACTAAAACAAGAAGAAACTCGAAAATTTCTATTGTTTTGGAACATCCAATAGCTTTTTCCTCACTTCGAGCATTAGAAATCGTCCTAACATTCCATATATAGAAACCCTAAATTATGCAAAAACGTACAATGAATGTAGGTTGGATTGGCAAGACATTGAACAAATTCCAATTCGAGCAAGAACCGCTGCCGCCCGTCATCCGGATCTTTGTAGACATTCGTAGGCCTGGTAATGATTCGCCAAACAGGAAAGGAAGATTGATTTAACTCACAAGCAGCTCAACAGAACAGGAAATTCGAATTGAAGCTATAGCAAAAACGAAGGAAGAATTAGCTAAAAGGAAATAAAAGAGGAGGGGAAATGAGAGAACACGAGAAGGAACCAAGAAACACACTTACGATGATGGATTATCATCTGCTTCTTCGTTTAATTCATGATTAGAAGCCATTGATTCCGACAAGTTGAACTTTAAAGCTCGTGCGATCGAAGTTCAGAGCTCTCAACAATGGCTACATTCAACCCCAGAGCCGCAAGCGATTGAAATAGATGGCGCAACGCAATGAAATACGCCCGCGCTAACTATGTTTTGCTGTGCTGTGTAAATAAATTGAATTTAAAAAATTGAATTATTTTTTTTATATAAATAAAAAAGGGTCAGGTTACTTTTAAAATTTCATAGTATTTTTTAAACATGTACTAATACTAATAGTTAAAAAGAGTATTAATGAAATTTTTTAAAATTCAAGGTTATTCTTTAAACAAAATACCACCTTTACATCACGTTAATAAGAATATTTTTTAGATTTTTTAAGTTAAGGGTGTTATTGAAATTTTGGAAAATTTATGGATATGAGAAATTCGTAGTACATATGGTAAACCGTATTTGGAAAATTTATGGATATGAGAAATTCGTAGTACATATGGTAAACCGTGTAGAAACAGATCGTACAATTTTTAACTAATTTGTAAAATGTTTCACATAATAATTTTTAGTACGAGAAATTCGCAAACTTATTATAGGAAAAAGTACGATAAAATCTAGTCATTTTTATCTTTTTCAATATTTTGCATACCAACTATTGTCCGTACTTTCTTACTATATCATATCATAGGCCTTTCTTTTGTCAGGTTTTCGTCCCTTCCCTTCGTCTCCTTTCTAACTTTTACATTCAGATCAACTATTCTCTATCAAATTAACAAATTCAAAAAAAATTCTAATAAAAATAGAACTTTTTAATTTTTAATCTTCAACTTAGAATTTGTTTGAAATAAGAGAGAAAATCAAACAAAAAAAAGGGAGAGGATTAAACTTCATATCAACTTATAATTACTTCTTAAATAACAAAGAATTCTACATCATGATCAGTTCCAATTCACCATACACAAGGATACGTTCTTTAGTTTCCTTAATTCTCTTTCTTCCAAATTCTCTAATGGTTGATAACATGGTTCTTTTTAGCCCTTCCACACCCAACAAAATGTAAACCACAAATCTTCATCCCCTCAAGCTAGAAACTGCTGCCAAGTTCATAAACAACTCAAGTGGGATCGTTGAAACATGAATAGAGTAGTACACTGTTTTCCACACCCTCCAAGTTATGGAGATTGTAATCGAATCCTTGACGAAGGAACCGTAGATCCCGAACAATAGTTTGCAGTAATAGTACGAGCATTGTATCTCCTAGTAGGGTCTGTACCGCATCGGCCGTCTGAACCTTGGAACCCTTCTGCATAAAGGAATATAGCAACTTGAATTATAAAGCTGAAAGAGAAAGGAATTGAGTTTTCAACCAGATGAATATATGATCCCACAAATCCCTTCAAGTCAGCAAAGAGAGAAGAAAAGAAATGGCCTCAATACTCTATTTCCCCTTTAAATAATTTCCAGGCGGGCGCTATCGTAAATGTATCCGTCCCCCCATCTGTAACGGTCCAAGCCGCTAGCAAATATTGTCCTCTTTGGACTTTCCTATTCGGCTTCCCCTCAAGGTTTTTAAAACGCGTTTGTTGGGGATAGGTTTCTACACCCTTATAAAGAATATTTCGTTCTCCTCCCCAACCGATGTAGGATCTCACAAACCACCCCCTTCAAGGCCCAACGTCCTTGCTGGCACACCGCCTCGTGTCCACCTCCCTTCAGGGCTCAGCCTCTTCGCTGGCACATCGCCCGATGTCTAGCTCTTATACCATTTGTAACAGTCCAAACCCACTGCTAGCAGATATTGTCCTCTTTAGACTTTCATTTCTGAACTTCCCCTCAAGGTTTTTAAAACACGTCAGCTAGGGAGAGGTTTCTACACCCTTATAAAGAATGTTTCATTCTGCTCCCCAACCGATGTGGGATCTCATACCATAAGACAGTTGTATACATACAATAATGCGAACTAGAAAAGTTGGGAAGTACATTTATTCCTACATAAGATATTACCTACACGAAAAGACGTAAACTTGTACAAAAAAACCTGCTAATCAGAAAACTATCCTCCCAGGAAGATACTGTGACTTGCCAATTGCATATCAGCATTTCAACATGGAGTGAAAAGCAATATAGTAGTTCAGCACTTACCCATAACCATACGAAGGAGGAAAAGGTGCGGAAGGGAAAGGCCGACGACCTCGAAAGCCAAAAGAGTT